AAATCACCCTAAAAGGAGAAGTAAGATCAAAAGTAAGACCAGAAGTTAGAGAAGTAAGATCAGAAGTTAGATCCAGAATCCAGATTCCAGAGGCTCTCTTGTCGCCTATGGTCTGGTTAGCATGACCATCCAGGCAAGCCACGGGCGTCTGGATAAATCACCCAAGTCATGCTATTTGTTAAGATTCGGGTCACTGTGATTTATAGTAGTATCTTACAGTTTTGCTGCATAAGAAGCAGTGGTATCTACATTCGCTGTACCCTTCTCATAGATTTCAAAGAATGGACGAGAGAATCACCTGATTTCTACCTTGGATAAAGGAAAGCGAGGGACAGGTGTCCTGCTCTCACCAGATGACTGGGAACTTGCAGCCTAATCGACAGTTCTCGGGACTATTGGTATGTTTCAGACAAGTGCAAGAAGACACATCACTAAACCCAACTGCCGTTTGTGGCATCCCTCTAACAATCGAGGACTCTCAGGGATGTGGGGGTGTGGGGAGGAGGTCTCTCCTCAGTCTCCGCAAGAACTTGAATGCCACCAGCCCTCTTCTGGATGGACAGAGCCATGTGTGCGCACACACCCGGTTTCACGCACCTGAGGCATCTGCGGATCGTTGATGTCCCAGCTGAGCTTCATCCCGTAGGAGCACACGCGGTCAGCCTTCTGCCCCACTTCCGCCACCATCTGCCCCACCTTGCCTGCGCTCTCCGCCAACGATCCTGAAAGATAGAAGAAAAAAACCTAGATGGGCAAGGTGATGTTTTCCCACTAACAATGAACTGGATGGAGATGGAGAGACAGAGACCCACAGAGAGACAGAGAGAGAGAATTTACTTAGAAATCCAGAAGTGGTGGACAAGGGTTAAGAGCTCTGTTCTCAGCCCGGGTGCTGAAAACCGCAGCGGCGGCGCGCGGCGGTGCCCGCAAGTTTATAAGGACACACCTGCCCAGGCTCCGCCTTTCCTCGCTCTCGCCAGCTCCCACCCTCCCGGCACCAGCAAGGCGGGTCACCCCCGCCCGGACAGACCTAGGAACGGAGGGGGAAGTTGACCCGAGCCCTCGGGAAACTGAAGGCAAGATGTCAAGGGGCGAGGGTGGGGGGTGGGGAGTTGGAATGTCTCATTTAAGTTGAAATCTTTTTTTTTTTTTTCCTAACCTCGCCTCGCCTCTGGGGTTTCGGATTGCATTTAGATGGAAGGTTTTGAGACAGAGGCTTTCCAGCGAAGTCCCCAGAGAACTGACCCTCAATTCCTAGGCACCGTTTGTAGGACCTTGGCGGTCGCGCGCCCTAGTCTGGGTAACTGCGCCCGCGCCAGCTAGCTTTGGGCTTCTGCTCTCGGGCTTTGTCAGAGCTGTCTGTGCTTTTTTCCGGGGGGGTGGGGGTAGGGGGTGGAGGAGTGGAGTCCGAAGGAATGCCGGAGGTCCCCGTGAGCTCGCAGGCCTAGGTGTACCTATGCTCCAGAGGGGCTGCGCAAGGGACGTGGCCCAGTGGGACGAAAAGTCCCTGAAAGTGAACCTGGAGAAGGAGGGGGGAGATGACCTAAGGGTAGCTGGACGAGGAGGGCGTGGGTGGGCTCTGCGGGCCCCGGGCGCGTAAGCAGGACACTTAGCGCGCGCGCGCTCTCTCTCTCTCTCATTCTCTCTCCCTCTCGTCTCAACTCCCTCTGGGCATCAGTTTCCTTATCTGTTTAAAAGGGGACTGGGACTCAGTGAATTCTCAGTAGCCACCCACCGGAAACAAAGTTTTAAAGATCGTCTTTATTGGTATTGTCATGGAAATACCCCATTCCATCTGGGGAGGTTTTCTGGAGCCTGGAGGAACCAGGTGAGGGGGCGCAGGATGCTATGGATCCCCCGGGACCGACACCAAGTCTTCGTCTGTTCTTCTGCCTCATTAGGGTGATTCCGGTACCTGGAAGCGTCCAATAAAAGAAATCGTTTGAAATGACTTAAATCTCTTTGTAGCCAGTCTGAGCGGCGAGGGAAGTGTTTTCCCGGAGTTTTTTCTCGTGCCTTTGTTCTGCAGGCGGCACGCTTCGGTTCCCAGCCGTATCCAGAGAAGAGCCGCCCCCGAAGGCCCCTCCAAACCCCGAAGCCGGCGCGCGAGGGACCTGGGCACGGCCCAGCAGGCTCCGGGAGCACCGACTGATGGTGCGTGGGACCCGGCCGGGAGCGCGCCCAGGCCAGCGCCTCTTGCCGGACCAGTCTCTCACTTTGGCCAAAGGCGGAAAAAGCAGATGCTCCTTAAACCCACATCTTGCGCTAAATAATTGTCCGCGCTCGCTGTTCTCTCACCTCCGGTCAAGGGCACAGTCAGGTTTGTTAGGAAAGTCAATCCAATAGTGAGATGCTTTTCAGAGCGGCCAGCTATGGGCAGCGGAGAACTCCGGTGACGAGAAATGCCAGCTTTGGGCAGTTTCACGAATTTTCTTCTTTCCCTAGTTTCAAGCTGGCTGCTCCTCCCAACCAGAGGCGGAAAGTCCACGCAGAAAAAAAAGTGACTTGGTCATCCCTCTGCCTCTCTTCCCCCAAAGTTCTCTTTCTGAAAGATCGTGTAGGTCAGGGTTTCTGATTAAAATCACTCTCGCGTAGTCGCCACGAGGCTCGGGGAGGAAACGAAGAGAGTGTCCACTCTTCCCCCAGGAGTTTTGTCGGCAGATTTTCATCGTATTAACCGACTGCCAAAGGTCTGGCCACTCCTGTCCTTCAGTTGTTTTTATGCTGTTTGTCTTCCAAACGTTAAACTTATTCACACTTTTCTTTTACGTACATATTTCGTTAATTGTGATAGGTTAAGATAATGTATACTTTAAAATGTTTTAACATAACTTCAGAAATAATTCAAAATCACCTCTGAGACTATATAGATGTTAATTTCGGGTCTTATTGTACAGATTATTAGAATCTTTCTTGTCTCTATAATCTTGGAATGTTCCTAAGGAGTCTTTAACCTTTAACAATACAAATGCATACAATTTTTTAACGTTAAAGCCAAATCACTTAATTATATACTTTTTTTTCTAAGTGGATTCTGGTGTCCAAAGAAATGTCACAGACTCTCTGCCATATTTAGTTTCAGAAGAATTAAAATCTTTATTCCAAGTTGCCCTAAAAGTATGGTTCAGTAAAACATGTTAGTAAAAGAAGCTAATCGAGGGGTGCCTGGGTGCGTCAATTAGTTGCGCATCCGGTTCGATCTCAGCTAAGGTCTTGATCTCAGGCTTGTTAGTTTAATTAAGCCACACATTGGGTATGGAGCCTACTTAAAAAAAAATTTAAAAAGCTGATTGAAGTGAAAATTTGAAAATAAAAATAATTAAGTAGTGGTGTTGTTTATTGTGTTGTCTTACATTTCTCCAGAAAATTTGAATGCATTAGCAACCCTATAGTTTGGAAGGATATGTTTTCGCCCAAAATTCTGTAAATAACTGATTATAAAGCTTTTGTCTATTATTAAGCAAACTGTAATTTTATTATATTGTTTATTATATTCTCATATTATTTTATTCTGTAAAATCAAATGCACTTAAACTGTATTTTGATTATTGTTTGTTACTATCCTTCCATTTTTTTTCTGCACTAGTATTTTCATTGATTCAGAACACTTTATATTCACAGCTGGCTCTTCCTTCATTACTATTTTGATACAGTAAAACCTCATTAATTCAAAAGCAAAGGAAGAAGGCTTTGCATTTGCTAGGCTTAGATGAAAATCAGGAAATTAATGTAAGTATATTTACATCATATTGACCAGGAAACAGACATCATGGTCTTTGAAATAAGTATCATTTTGAATGGACCGCAGGTGTATGCACTGACCTAGCAGAGATTCTGGTTCTATTGGGTCTTGCTTTGATGTAAACAGGTATCTTCTGTAAATGTCTTGACACGAAATACCCATAGTTTGTAATCATAACACAAATTGATTTTTACACAAGGAAAGTTTAGATCTGAGGGGTCTTTTTTTTTGTTTTTAAGAAAGCGCCAGTCCAATTTATTTTTGCCACTGTGTTCACATAAACAGGCTACTTAGCAGCAGAAACCTGGCCATTAGTACACACTCTAGTTGGGTTAAAGGAAGTAGGTAGAAAACAAGCAGAGTGGATGAAGTTATTTGTTTCCTCCCCCCACCCCGTTTTGTTTGGTTTTGTTTTTGACTGAGTACACCAGGTTAATGAAACAAACAAACAAAAAAACCTTTTGTGAGTTCAGGAATATTCTCACAATTTCAGGTACAAATCTGCTTCCTAGGGGAAAATCCAGTTTTAGTCTATATCAGAATCAATAGACCAAAGACCGCTCACCCAGCTATTAAAGGTGGAGAGAAAACTGCCGGCTTCCGCAAAGGGGCTATCTATCAGTTTCGAATTCCTCAAATAAAGAATATTTACATGACGTTGTTCACAGACTCTTGAGAAATCGCTTTAAGCTGTGCGTGCATGCGCCCAGGTGGCCTGACCAGGATTGCTAATTACCTGCAAGGGTATCTTGCGTCTCAAATAGGGGCTTAGTAAATTCAGGTGCCGGTTAATTGATTAGCATTCTGGGCGAGGATTGGAACTGAAAAGCCGCGAGGCTACACCGGCCCTCGCCGCAGCGCAGCCCAGCCGGCCCGGGTTTCGGGCAGCAGAACCGCAGGAGGCGGAACGCGGCGCACTTGCGAGGCGCGCTCTGGGCCGGGAGCCTCGGGATGCAGGCGGTGAGTGAGCCGGGGAGGGGGGGGTCCGGGTTTAGTCTGGGCCCTTTCTCCGCGGCTCGAGGGGGGCCCAAGGGCGCGTGGTCCGTCGGGCTCTGGGGGCAGAGGCTGGTGTGTTCCCCCAGAGACGCGGCATCTGCTACCATGCCCTGACGCCGGGGGGGGGGAGGGGGAACCCTTCAACCTCCTTAGGTTTGCTTGGAGTTTATTGGGAGCTTTCAGTGAGGCAACCAGGCAGGATAGAAGCCTCTGATCCCTTGCTCAGAGAAGAGGAAACCGGAGAATTAATGTTTAGAAGGCAATGAGATCGTTCTCGATTTGCTCAGTCTGTTGTCCCAGCCCCTGTTGCTGCGTAGACCTTGCAGTGACATTAACCCATCTGGGCCCCAGACCTACGGTCCCAAGTGCGGGGACTTGGGCTACTCGCACTGTAGATAAAGGTCCCTAAAACGCCCGGGGCCCCGGATTTGGGGGTGGATTGGTACCGCCAGTGCTTCCACTTCTCAACATTCGTTTAACCCAAATCACTGCTGGTGAAGAAAATAAACAAGCCTGGATCTGGGTCTTTGAATTCACCCAACTTTTCATATTTGTAAATAATGATGATATTGTATCATATGCTGACATTCAAAGATCTTGGTCAAGTACATATGGAAGTAAGACTGTGAGCCCAAGCTAAATTTTAAAAAAAAACCTCTCTAGAAGATATTTGAAGTCTAGTTTTTGGTGTGTTGTACTTTTAAATAATTGTTGGGATGAAGTGAGCAGATGAAATGCTGTTATTTATTTAATGTAGCATAATGTGTTGTGAAAACCAAGGTGGCAGACCCAGGGATTACTCTTGAGGAAAAGGTGTAACAATCCACTACTAAATGTCTTGTGGATTCTCTCGTGGTGGTTGTTAATATTTGATCCTTGAAGCTGTGCTAAAAGTCCCAGAGGAGTATTTAAAACTCACCAAAGTCAGAAACCTAAAGCTCAATCTCATGACTGGGCTTGAAACACACTTTCCAAAATTTCATTTTACAAACTCTCATTCTAAAAATGGTTCATTAATCCAAAGCCATCTATTCTATAGTTGTCACTAATAGAGTTTGTCTATTTTGTGTGATTGTTGATTACAATGGTGTTTGCTTTGCTTCTTGTGATAGTCTGTATTTGTCATAGTACTGAAGAAAGTTAGAAAAATTATTTCTAAGTATGTTACTTAGACCTATAATCAGCGGCATGAGCAAACAAAACGTTTTTGTTCGGGATGACAATATGAAGCTTCATTTCTTTTATTTTTAAAACTTGAGATGCATTTCTTTGAGACATTTTTTTAAACAATCTTTTTGTACACAGGAAGAGGAAGGTCCTTTGCAGTCTGTTAACGAAGATGCTGGGAGTGGAATTGCTCTGGATGCTTTCTATGTAAAGATCAAGCTAATTTTGGGGGGGGAGGGAGAGGGTGTGTGTGCTCTCTTTCTAGTTCTGTGTGGGCTGTGCCCACACAGAACTGCACAATTGTTCCTCAGTTGCTCAAGCCAGGGGCAGAGAAACCTTTGCTCCTTCCCCTTCCCTAATATCCTACATTCAGTTTATCACCATGCCTTTGAGTATCCTACCAATATCTTAGTTTAAATTTTCTTGGGCCAGGTACTATTCTAGGTAGACAGTATTGAACAAAACAGATACAATTCCTGCCCACATGGAGCTTACAGCCTGGTGCAGAGCCAAAGAAACAGGTTACCAAGCAAAGGGAAGAAGCAGTCTAGGCATAGAACAGTCAGTGCAAAGGCCCTGAGGCAAGGCAGCATTTGATTTATTGTTTTTTTAATTTTAATGTAAGTTAACTTTAGTTTTTTTTATTGTTGTTGTTTTTGACTCATTAGTAGGGAAGTCAGGCAGAAGAAGTTGACAGATCAAATCATGCAGAGCCCTGAAGACCGAGGCAAAGGGTTTGGAATTATTCTGAATGCAGGGAAGCCCAGTGGAGTTTTAAGCAGGCAGAGGCCTGAGCTTTTGAGTCAGAGAATCTGAGTGTAAATCTCACCTGGGTGATCTCATGCAAGTACTTAACCTTTCCCAGCCTTGCTGTTCTCCCCGGATAAAGAATCTGTCCTGTCAGGGGGTGGTGGTAAGGATCACATGAGAACATCTGTGGAACACTCAACATTCTTGGCACAAAAAGGTTCACTTAAAAATGTGCTAACTTAAAAATATTCTGTTCACGTGTTTAACTTCAAATGCTATCTCTCCATTTAAATCAGTACTAAGAATATGTGGAATTTGGAGCTGTATACAGTAAAATGCCTCCGTATTAAAATAATATTGTATATTGGTAATTTAGCCTGTAGGAATGAACTGAGTTTTTAAAAATGAAAAAAATCCTATCTTTTTAGTACAGATACTTACGTGTCTGTGCAAATGTATTTAGAAGTAGTTCTTGGCTGATGTTTAGGTGGAAAAAATTTCATTTGTTATGACAATTTGCATACTTAGTCAACTATCTGTAATTGTGGAATTCATTTTCTTCTATTCTGATCATTTATGTCACTTATAATAGGTTTGCATTTTTTTAGTGTCTTAGAATTTCTAACATTACTGAGGATAAAGTCTTTTCTCCAGATATCTGTACTTCAAATGTAGTTCTCCCTAAGTCAGTGGCTCTCCAACTTAGCATACGAGAGAATCCCCTGAAGGCTACCTGCGGGCCCCCCCCACCCAGTGTTTGATTCCTAATCAGTCCCCAGGTGATGCCCATGCTGCTGGTGGTCCACAAACCACATTTTGCAAACTGTCTTAACCCAACAAGCTCAATCATTGGCTAAATGATCTGTTCAAGATATAACTATTTATCCTCTATTAATTCCACACTGAATTATTTTTTTATTTTTTTTTAAAGATTTTATTTATTTGACAGAGACACAGCGAGAGAGGGAACACAAGCAGAGGGAGGGGGAGAGGGAGAAGCAGACTCTCTGCAGAGCAGGGAGCCCGATGCGGGGCCCAATCCCAGGACTCTGGGATCATGACCTGAGCCGAAGGCAGATGATTAATGACTGAGCCACCCAGGCACCCCTCCCCACTGAATTATTGATGGTAGAAATATTACTATGAAGTAAATGTTCTTAGGGGAAAATAATTTGCAAACTATTAACTTTCCAGCTTCAGTCACTTATTATTGATACATTCCATGATAAAGGATTTCAGAAAATAGAAGAATATTTTCAACAGAGAGCAAGCCACATTCCTCAAAAATACAATCATCTTGTATTCTATCATCTTGACAGAGCAATAAATAAGGCAAGTAAACTTGTTTTTTGTGGGGAGAATACCAGTGTGTAATTACTTGGAAGGTCCCCCCTCCCTGCCCCCAGGTTTTATTGAGGTGTAATTGACACACAGCACTGTAACTTTAAGGTGTACAGTATAGTGATTTGACTTGTGAAATGATCACCACAATAAGTTAACATCCATCATCTCCTATAGATAAAAATAGAGAAAAGATTTCCTTGTGACGAAGGGCACCCGGCTGGCTTAGGCAGAAAAGCAAGGGGTTGTGAGTTCGAGCCCCACGTCGGGTATAGAGATTACTTAAATAAAACCTAAAAAAAAAAAAAAAATTTCCTTGTGATGAGAACTTTTAGGATCCACTCCCTTAGTAACTTTCATTGTAAGGCTTTAACTTAGTGTGGTCTAATACCCAGGAACTGGAGAAAAATGAGTTTCGGTATGTTTCACTGTTGCTGAAATGTGTTCAGCGATTCTTCATGGATGGCCTCAAAGAAGATGAACCTTTGCTAATTCAGCAGGGACTGATCCCAAAGATAAGTGTCTTGTTTTAATTTTGTATGGCTTTGGGTCATTTAAAGAACTGGAATGAAACTAGTTATCTAGTTTGATAGTTTCTGTTCCTTTGAAACCAAATTTGGAAAGAAATTGGTCATGATGCTTATTGCCTATATCAGTCAAAGATGAAGTTCAGTATAGGTTTCCTGATATGTGCTGAGCACTTTGGGAGTGTGCAGGAATGAGTCAGACCTACTGTCTTCTCCCCTTGACAAGCCAATGCTGTAATCGCATGTTTTAATTATTTTAGTGAATTTAACTTGGGAATAGAGAATGAGTAGGGAATAAATTATATGCCCCCCACAACCCCCACCAAAGGCTCTAAAACTTTTCATAGACATTAGTAACAAGATTGAATCTAGATAAATGATCAAATACCTCCCCTTGCCACAGCCCATTTTTCTTTATTTTACTTTTTTAAAAATTTTATTTTATTATGTTACATTAGTCACCATACACTACATCATTAGTTTTTGATGTAGTGTTCCATGATTCATTGTTTGTGTATAACACCCAGTGCTCCATGCAGAATGTACCCTCCTTAATACCCATCACCGGGCTAACCCATCACACCACCCCCCTCCCCTCTAAAACCCTCAGTTTGTTTCTCTGAGTCCATAGTCTCTCATGGTTCATCTCCCCCTCTGATTTCCCCCCCTTCATTTTTCCCTTCCTACTATCTTCTTTTTTATTAACATAGAATGTATTTGTTTCAGGGGTACAGGTCTGTGATTCAACAGTCTTGCACAATTCACACCGCTCACCATAGCACATACCCTCCCCAATGTCTATCACCCAGCCACCCCATCCCTCCCACCCCCCACCACTCCAGCAACACTCAGTTTGTTTCCTGAGATTAAGAGTCTCTTATGGTTTGTCTCCCTCTCTGGTTTCATCGTGTTTCACCTTTTCCTCCCTTCCCCTATGAGGAATTTGAGAACCAAGACAGAGGACCATATCAGCGAGATCATATGCTACTTGTCTTTCTCTGATTGACTTATTTCGCTTAGCATAATACCCTCTGGTTCCATCTACATGGTTGCAAATGGCAAGATTTTGGGTTTTTTGATGGTTGTATGCGCATACGCATGTATATGTGTGTTCTTTAACCATTCATCTGTCGATGGACATCTTGGCTCTTTCCACAGTTTGGCTATTGTGGACATTGCTGCTATAAATGTTGGGGTGCACGTACCCCTTTGGATCACTACATTTGTATCTTTGGGGTAAATACCTAGTAGTGCAATTGCTGGGTTGTAGGGTAGCTCTATTTTCAACTTTTTTTTTTAAAGATTTTATTTATTTATCTGACAGACACAGCGAGAGAGGGAACACAAGCAGGGGGAGTGGGAGGGGGAGAAGAAGGCCTCCCGTGGAGCAGGGAGCCCGATGTTGGGCTCGATCCCAGGACTCTGGGATCATGACCTGAGCCGAAGGCAGACGCTTAACTGAGCCACCCAGGTGCCCCTATTTTCAACTTTTTGAGGAACCTCCATACTGTTTTTCAGAGTGCACAGCCCATTTTTCCAACTTTGAAACTCTCAGTTGAATGTGAAAAAGAGCAAAATTTTTTCTTCTAATGCATGCAGTTGTGACATTTTATCCTGTTAGGGGATAGCCCCAGGGTAATATGAGTGCCTTGACAATGGTGTCTGAAAGCAAAGCAGAGTTTGTGGAATCTCTTGTTATATCCCTTTTTTCACAAGATTTTCAGCCCTTAGATGCTGGATTTGTTGGTGAGATGAGGGAAGATAGAGGGGCAGGAGAGTGATCTGGCTGGTTCTAAAACCTTCCCCCCCACCCCACCCCCTGGACCCTAGTACCTGAAGTTTGTTAGGACCAGGTTGACTCAGGGAGATCTGTTTGTGCCCTTTTTTACTGTAAAATGCCTCTAACTATGTGGCCCCTCTTTGGGGTGGGGGGGGAGACCAAATAAATACCAGGCTTTCCCTAACCCCTCTCAGACTTTAAAACTGTTTGCAGGGTGGGGGGGTAGAGCTAAGGATTTTGCTTAGGCAAACTATATATTTCATTTTGCATGTAGTGCCACCTAACTCCCTCGTATACATATGCAGTTAACAGGAAATCTGGAAGAGGAGGTAAAACCATTTCAAAGGAAATGGAACATGATGTTCCAGGGGTAACTTGGAACCTTAAGCTGGTGGTGGTGGTGGTGGTGGTGGTGGTGGTTTTGGGGGGTGGGGGCAGAGATGAGTTGGGATCTGACCCAACCTGAATTTTCTATTTAGATTTTAAAATACCCTTCCAAGACTTAAAGGGTCAGATCAAATTTCCACTGGAGTTTTGAAATCAAATGGGAATTTCCATATTCCATTGGAATTCCAGTTGGTGATGGAAATTTCAGAACCAGAACTTAGGCACATTCTAAAGCATGTTCTGTTTCCTGTAGGTTTTGGCCAAGAAAAATACTTTGATACTATCAAAGTGGATGGGATACTAGATTCTATACTTCTAAAGTCGATTATTTTTGCAAGTCAGCACAAAATGTACTGGGAACTTATTCTCCCCTGAGTAAGAATTTCCTATGGAAAGGAACGCATTTATAAGATCCTGGAGGATTAAGCAACTTGTCCTATAAGACATACATAATGAGTAGTACCTATTATATATGTAAATAACTATTTTGTCTGGCTTCTGGTAATCACACAGCTGTGGGGAAATGTAGGATCATGAAACCTAAGTAGGTCCAGAGAGGGACTTTTTTTTTTTTTTTTAAGATTTTTTATTTGACAGAGACACAGCGAGAGAGGGAACACACAAGCAGGGGGAGAGGGAGAAGCAGGCTTCCCGCTGAGCAGAGAGCCTGATGCGGGGCTCGATCCCAGGACCCTGAGATCATGACCTGAGCCGAAGGCAGACGCTTAACGACTGAGCCACCCAGGCGCCCCCAGAGAGTGACTTTCTAGTCCCAAGTATTGATCAAATGTGGCATTGCCCTCACTTCTCTGTATCTATGCTCAATATATTTTGGTATGCTGAAGTGGGGCGGATAGGATTTGGGGTGGTAAATGGAATAGTGACAAAAATTTACTTAAAAGTGTAAAATTCAGTATGGATATGGGGAGCGGATATCACCTTAGCGGTGAGTTCCGTTGTATAGAAGGATTTTTTCCCTTAGGCTGTTGGAGAAAAGTTTGCCTCAGAATGTGGATGATGCAGTCCAGCACAAATCTTTGCCTCATTTGAGATCAAAAACATCACTTGGAACTTAATAGTGGCCTGCCACCCTTGCTGTGCACTAGAATCCCCTGGAGAGCTTTAACAAGCACTCTCTGGGTCCCACTACCAGAGATTGCTACATACTGGGTCTGTGATGGGTCCTGGGTGTCAGGGTGTTTCAAAGCTCCCCAGGTTTTCCTAATGTGCAGTCAAGGTTGCGAACATTTGGTTTGTCCATGGTCCCCAGTGGGGTGCTTTGGGTTCTTGGCTCCAAAGTGGACCAAGTTTCCAAGGCTCATTCTTGTAAGCGTTTTTCATTACAAACTCCTCTTACTACATGTTCAATTGATAATTTCAAACTACACATGCAGAATTTTTTTTATAAGCAAAAAATGGTCCAAAGATGGCCTTTGCTTTTTTGAATAAATGTTCTTGGAGGGTTTATAGGAGTTTATTTTAAATCCTATCAATCCTAGCAACTTAATGTGAATGTGGATATATGTTCCTACAGGAAAACAAATCTCCAATTAGCTGGAAGCTTTTGACAAGAGAAAGGCTTGAGACATATACATTGTACTAACATACTTCTGGAGCGCTTTCCAAATTCTGCATCTCCTTTTATTAGTTTGTTTTCTACAGCCTCTCAGATGACAAGAATTGCTGCAGTGTTGGGGAGGCTCATTTATCTCTTAATCTTTAATCACTAGCCCCTATATAGGACTTTCTGGCATTAATCTTGGCCAACACTTGCTGGTATCTGAGAACTTATTAGTACAACTCTATAGCAGTAGGACTTCATTCTGGAGAGTTCTAGATGGAGGCCTTAGAACTAGGTCTAATTGAAATGTTATAGAAACCAATCTTAAAAATATTTTGCTCTGGTAAAAGATTTATGAAACTATCGAATAGACAGTTGTCATAGAAGTTTCCATCAGTGTTTTTTCTCTTATGTACATGGTTTCCTGGTTTGAAAAAACAACAGAATTTCTGACCATGGCAGATCCAGCATCTGACACATCCCTGACTGATGTTATAGAAGACTTCTTTGACACAGCCTTGGTAAGGATGAGGTTGGATGCCTCACTGAATACATACCATTGATTATTTGTAGGAATCTTCAGTTATTTATAAAACTTATGTTTTCTAAGATGTGGGTTTTACCAAGACTCTCATTTTATTAGAACATTATATGAAGTAGAAACCATATCTAACCAGTGCTATAGACAAATGAAGTGGTTTATTTTCATGCATACATCATTCACCTGTTTAAGGGCGATAAGCTGATTTTAATAGTGATTGAAGGTCAAATAGGATTTCTCAGTTTTTTTCTACTAATGAAAGTCGACTCCTGCCTGTTAGAGAACTATCAGCACTAATGAATTAATGTTAGAGTTGATAATGGTTTTTAAAAATAATACAAGCTTTATGGGGCGCCTGGGTGGCTCAGTCGTTCAGTGTCTGCCTTCGGCTCAGGTCATGATCCCAGGGTGCTGGGATCGAGCCCTGCGTGGGGCTCCCTGCTCCGCGGGAAGCCTGCTTCTCCCTCTCCCACTCTCCCTGCTTGTGTTCCCTCTTTCGCTGTGTCTCTCTCTGCCAAATAAATAAATAAAATCTTTAAAAAAAAAATAATAATACAAGCTTTACTTTTTCTTCTAGATTATTTCCAGGAGTAGTAGTAAAGGTAAGTATATTATTTACCACTAATTGACTATTTACTCTTCATTAGAATATTCTGATATAAATATTTGTCTAAATGACATAAAACAGGTTTCAGTGTTTGGCTTTATTCACCATCTCAGGGTAGTCCTATGGCAATGTAGAGAGATTTTGTTGTAAAGTATGTCTTGGTTTGCCTGAGGTCCATTTTATTTTGTCTTAAATATTTTTAATGAGGGACGCCTGGGTGGCTCAGTTGGTTAAGCGTCTGCCTTGGGCTCAGATCATGATCCCAGGGTCCTGGGATTGATTTCCACATGGGGCTCCCTGCTCAGCATGCGCTCTCCCGCTATCCCTGCTTGTGAGCACTCTGTCAAAGTCTTAAATATTTTTAATATAAGTACAGTTGACCTATAGTTTCAGGTGTACAACATAGCGATTTGACCATTGTGTACAACCCTTAATGCTCACTATGATGAGTGTAGCCACTCCGTCATCACAGAACATTACTGCAGTGTTGTTTATATCCTCCAGTCTGCGAAGGCACTCTAAGACCAAAAACGAAGCAAGCACTCCCTACTGTTTACACAGTTTTATTCAGGATAACTTACTGATGGGGGGTGGGAGGTGGGATCGGGCAAAGGATCCCTGAGCTATGCAGCTGTTCGCTGCCAAGTCCGGACCTTAATCCCCAGCCTGTATAGAGTGAGGGGCATGGTGGTGAGGTCTCAGGCTAGTTATCTCAAGTGGTGCCATCTGTTCGCCAGAGGATCTGTACTAGTTCTCTGCAGCGGGACCTTCTGTGCGTTACTTCAGGGACGGTCAGAGTGAGACCGTGCGCATTCCAGCCAGGACACACCTTATCCTCCATGGGGCAGGGAGCATGGAGCATGGAGCCCCGGAGCAGGTCATTGTGTGGCTAGGAACAAGACAGCAAGACGGAAGGCCAAGATGGTGTTAGTGTTGTCTGCACTCCTGCAGTTGTACTTATCATCTCTGTGACTTGTGACAGAAACTTTGTAACTCTTGATCCTCTATCTATTTTGCCCATCCCCCCACCACCTCCCCTCTGGCAACCACCTTTGTTCTTTGCATTTAAGAATCTGGTGTTTTTGTTTTTTGTTGTTGTTGCTGTTCATTTATTTTGTTTCCTGGATTCCGCGTAGAAGTGAAATCATATGGTATTTCTCTGATTTATTTCACTTAGCATAATACCCTCTAGGTCCATCCATGTTGTAAATGGCAAGATTCTATCTTTTTTTTATGATTTATATTCCATAGTATATACCATATCTTCTTTATCCATTCATCTACTGATGGACCCTTGAGTTGCTTCCATTGTGTAGCTGTTATAAATAATGCTGCTATAAACATAGGGGTGCATATCTTTTCAAATTAGTGTTTTCATTTTCTTTGAGTAAATACCTAGTAGTGAAATGACTAGATCATGTGGTATTTGTAACTCTTTGAGGAACCTCCATACTGTTCTCCAGAGTGGCTCTACCAGTTTGCATTCCCACCGACCACGCACAAGTGTCCCCTTTTCTCCACATCCTCACCAATATCCACCTTGTATATTCCTGCACCCTTTGTTGTAGATTGACTAGATGAGTGGGAGTTTATCCCTGGGCTCTGTGTTCTGTTCTTTGCACTATGCATTTATTTTTGTGCTAGTACCATACTGCTTTGATTACTGTAGCTTTGTAATATGGTTTGAAATCTGGAAGCATGATACCTCCATCTTCTTTCTCAAGATTGTTTTGGCTATTTGGTATCTTTTTCTTTTTTTTTTTTTTTTGTTCCATACAAACTTTAAGATTATCCTAGTTCTATGAAAAATACCATTGGTGTTTTGCTAGGAATTGCATTGAATTTGTAGATTGGTTTGGGTAGTATGGCCATTTAAACAATATTCTTCCAGTCCGTGAGCACAGTATATCCATTTATTTGTCTTCAGTTTTTTTTTTTCTTCCCGTTAATATCTTACTGTTCTTAGAGTACAGGTCTGTCACCTCCTTGGTTAAATTTATTCCTAAGTGTTTTAATGCAATTGTAAATGGGATTTTCTTTGTCTTTCTGTTAGCTCATTATTAGTGTAGAAACACAACAGACTTCTACATATTTTTATAGCCTGAAAATTTGAATCTTTTTTTTTAATTTTTTTTCAGCTTTTCTGCCCTTTTAAAATTTAATTCCAGTATAGTTAACATACAGTGTTATATTAGTTTTAGGTGTACAATATAGTGATTCAACAATTCTATACACAACTCAGTGCTCACCATAAGTATACTCGTAATCCCGTTCACCTATTTCACCATCCCCCTGCCCACCTACCCTGTTTGTTCTCTGTAGTTAAGCGTTTGTTTTTTTAGTTTGTCTTTTTTTCCTTTGTTTTTCTTCAATTCTACATAGAAGTGAGATCATATGGTATTTGTCTTTCTATGACTGGCTTTGGATTATTTCTTGGGTGTTGAGTTGTATAAGTTCTTTATATATTTTGGACACTACCCTTTACTGGATATGTCATTTGCAAATATCTTCTTCCATTCAGTAGGTTGTCTTTTAGTTTCATTGGTGGTTTCCTTCACTGTGCAGAAGCTTTTTATGTTGAAGTCCCAGTAGTTTAGTTTTGCTTTTGTTTCCCTTGCCTCAGGAGAACTATCTAGAAAAATGTTAATGGCTGATGTCAGAGGCCTTACCACCTATGCTCTTTTCCAGGGTTTTTATCATTACAGATCTCACATTTAGGTCTTGAATCCATCTTGAGTTTATTTTTGTGTATGGTGAAACAAAGTCATCCAGTTTCATTCTTTTACATGTAGCTGTCCAGTTTTCCTAGCACTATGTGTCGAAGACTAGACTATCTTTTTCCCATTGCATATTCCTGCCTCCTTTGTCAAAGATTAACCATATGATCATGGGTTTGTTTGTAGACTTTCTACTCTGTTCTATTGATCTGTGTGTCTATTTTTGTGCCAGTTACCTCCTGTTTTGTTTATTACAGTTTGTAGTATAACTTGAACTGGAATTGTGATGCCTCTAGCTTTTTCAAGGTAGCTTTGGTGATTTGGGATCTCATGCGGTTCAATACAAATTTTAGAATTGTTCTAGTTCTGTGAAAAATGCTGTTGGTATTTTGATAAGGATTGCATAAATCTGTAGATTGCTTTGGGTACTATGGACATTTTAGGAGTCTTCCAATCTATAAGCATGGAATACCTTTCCATATGTTCTTGTCCTCTTCAATTTCTTTCATCAGTATTTTTTAGTTTTCAGATTATGGGTCTTTCACCACTTAAGTTTAGTCCTAAGTATTTTGTTTGGGGCAATTGTCAATAGGATCGTTAATGTTTCTTTTTTGTTGCTTCATTATTGTATAGAAATGTAATGGATTTCTGTACACTGATTTTTTTTTTTTCAACTTTACCAAGTTGATTTATCAGTTCTAGTTTTTTGGTGGAGTCTTCAGAGTTTTCTATATAGAGTATTGTCATCTGCAAATACTGTGTTTTAGTTCTTCCTTTCCAATTTGGATGCCTTTTATTCCTTTATGTTGTCTAATTGCTGTGGCTAGGACTCCTGTACTATGTTACATAAAAGGTGAAAGTGGGCATCCTTGTCTTTGACCTTAGGGGAAAAGCTCTGTTTTCCCCCATTGAGTATGATGTGGGTGTTTCATAAAAGGCCTTTATTATGTTGAGGTGTTTTCCCTCTAAACCTACTTTCTTGAGGGTTTTTTTTTTTTTTTATCATGAATGGATGTACTTTGTCAAATGCTTTTTCTACATCTATTAAAATGTTTTTATTTCCCATTGATTTGTAAAAGAGTGAACCACCCTTTTATTCCAGGAATAAATCTCACTTGATCAGGCTGAATGACTTTTTTTTTTTAATGTATTATTGGTTTCACTTTGCTAATATTGTTTTGAAGATTTTTGTGTCCATGTTCATGAGAGATAATTGGCTTGTTCACACTTGTGGGTATATGTGGTATCTTTATCTGGTTTTGGTATCAGGGGAATGTTGGCCTCCTAGAATGAACTTGGAAGTTTTCCTTCCTCTTCTGTTATTTGGAAGAGTTTGAGAATAGGTGCAAACTCTTCTTCTGTCTTTTTTTTTTTCCCCCTCCTTTTTAGTGTGAGTCAGGGTGGGGGGTGGGTTGGGAGGAGAGACAGGGGAGAGAGAATCTTAAGCAGGCTCTACGCCCAGTGCAGAGCCCATCACCAGGCTTGATCTCAGGACCCTGAGATCATGATCTGAGCTAAATCGAGTCAGATGCTTAACCACCTGACCAGGCGCCCCAGTATTAACTCTTCTTTAAATGTTTGGTAGATTCTCCCATGAGGCCATCTGGTTGTGGAATTTTGGGTTTTTTGGGGGAATTTTTTTTGATCACTGCTTCAATTTCATTGTTGGTAATTGGTCTGTTCAAATTTTCTATTTCTTCCCGATTCAGTTTTGGAAGGTTATGTTTCTAGGAATTATATATTTCTTCTAGATTGTTCGGTTTGTTGGCATATTTTTTTATAATCTCTTACCATTTGTATTTCTGTGCTGTTTATTTCACTTGTGATTTTGTTTGGGTGTGGGTTTTTGTTGCTGTTACTGTTTGTGAGTCTAGCTAGAGGTTTATCAATTTTGTTGATCTCTTCAAAGAACCAGCTCTTGGTTTCATTGATCTGCCCTATTTTTTAGTTTCCATTTTATTTCTGCTCTAATATTCTTTACTTCTGGTTTTAGGTTTGTTTTGGGTTTTTTCCCTAGCTCCTTTAGATATAAGGTTATGTTTGAGATTTTTCTTGAGGTAGGCCTGTATTGCTATAAACTTCCGTCTTAGGACAGCTTTTGTTGCATCCCAAAGATTTTGGACCATTATGTTTTCATTTTCACTTGTCTTTATTTCTTTGATTTATTGGTTGACTCATTCATTGTTCAGTAGCATGTTGTTTAACCTCCATGTATTTGTGCTCTTTACAGATATTTTTTCTGGTGGCCAATTTCTAGTTTCAGATAAGGTGCATGGTA